ATTTATGTATGTATGCCTTTCCCGTGGCAAAAGCACATACATGTAGGTTGCAAACACAGGGCCTGGAGAGCAAGGTTAAACTTCTGACTCAAGTCCAAGTGCATGTACAGAAATGAACTGCCCTAGTTTCTCCATATGGCAAAACATGGCTCGCTCGATTTGAAACATTGTTTCCCATTGCATAAAGCAGGAACTACATGTAATATCTTCCAGACCCTTAGGCCTTTCACTGTATTGTATTTTGTAGCCATTTTTTTTCTCCAAATAAGTTCCATTGCCTGGAGTGGAGGTTGAGACAGAGTGGGTTGAGGGCTTGAGGTTATTGAATTATCAAAATTGCATCTTTTTAATGATTAATTTCTGCCATGTATTTTGCAACTTCACTGGAAGTAAAAGGGTAACAGGAATATGGTTGTGACACATGCTCCTGTGGTAATTGCTCTTCCATATTTTCTATACTAACCAAATCCCTATCCTGATCCCTTAAAGTTAAAGACCAGTTCCGGTCATGCAATTGCATTGTGAAAGAAACGTTGTGGAATCGATCAGAAAATGTTGATCATCTAGTACCGGTATATAAGTATTGGTGTGTACTGCAAGGTTTTGGAATCATCAAAATGATAAGAAATTTGGCCAAGTCTTGGTAAAGTTACAAGCACTGTACACAGAAAGATGTATACATGTATATGGGACTACCCGACACGTGCACGACACATGTGCGATATCTATCGGGTCCAAATAGATATAATAATTTACCAAATTGCAAATATACCAATTAGTAGGCAGTTTCCCGGCAAAATTTGTATCATCACGTATTAGTAAAAACATATTTTTTCACATGATTGATAATAAGAGATTCCATTTTTTTTTTTGAGGGGGGGGGGGGGGCGTTTCACATGGCGTTTCACATGGTCTTTACCTTTAAAGGTATAGACCAGTTCTGGTCATGCAATGGCATTGTGAAAGAAACATTGTGGAATCGATCAGAAAAGGTTGATCATCTAGCAAATAAGTATTGGTGTGTACTGCAAGGTTCTGGAATCATCAAAATGATAAGAAATTTGGCCCAGTCTTGGTAAAGTTACACGCACTGTAGTACTGTACACAGCGGTATCTATCCAGGCCGGATAGATATGATAATTTACCAAATATATCAATTAGTAGGCAGTTTCTCCGCAAAATTTGTATCATCACATATTAGTGAAAACATATTCTTTCACATGATTGGTAATAAGAGCTTCCTTTTCATTTTTTGAGAGGGGGGCATTTCCAAAACTGGTCTACCGGTATACCTTTAATCTATGAATAAGGTATGCTAAACCCTAACCCTTAACCCAAACTGAAACCTAACTGCAACCATAAATGTTGGATCACCATCACCAGAGATGTATATATATATATATATATATATATATAGAAAGTTTATATAATTTTTTTTTTTAATCATTCCAATATCCTAAAACTTTACAGCAAGATCAACCTTATGGATGACTTTATTAATTTGTAAATCCAGAAAACTTCTTCAAGTGCAAGAAATTTTACAAAATGGTCCAGATTCGCTAAATATTTTTAAACCATTAAAAAAAGTCTGATCCAAGAGACTATGGGTACTTGTACTGAAATGAGGCCAAGTATTGCATGTTCGAACTTCCCATGAACCTGCAACATACAAACAAAGGGCCCATGTCTGTCTGATCTAGCATGGAAGACTACAGTGTTTACATTACAAAGCATTGGGGCTGGCTCCCATCCAAATAAAGACAGCAAACAATCATTTTTCCACCAGAGTGATTCAAATTTAGGCTTTTCTTTGAAAAGTATACCATTTGTTGGTTTTGACAGCTATTTCCAAATCCCTGACAGAGAAAATGTTAGTCTCAAATACAACGTCAACACCAATATGTTCTAAAGGGTATTAATTTTAGAAATCTCAATTATCTGTTTCTTTACAGGCCTACATAATATACAATCCATACTATACATTTTAGCAGACTGAATTAAAAATGTACCAAGTTCCACTACTGTATCATTGATTCAGTGTATAGCAAAACGTAACTCTCATATTAATCTTTATATACTTTTATCATTTTTATCTTGCTTGTGTCATTTGCATAATGTAATCTACAGATACGTGCCTATCAATAATTATAGAGCTCTCCTGAAGTTTTAAACATGTTAATTACTTCATTGGCAGACTATATGAGGTTCAATTCATATTATATTCTAGCATGCATTGAATAAACACAGATGCACATAGCACATTGCCTGCAACAGTAAACCAAAGTCTGTATGTTAGTGGCTGTCTGAATTTCCAACTAATGCATGTATGACAGTGCTTTTCAGAGAGCTGTATGTCTGAGGGACGAAGTCATGCACAATACATCATTCCTCCTCCTTTCAGGAAATATATAAATAAAAATGTGATCGTATATGATGGTAGGGGATTGGTTTTGAAGAATACGCTATGTATGTATGATATTCCTTTCCACCTGCGCAAAACAAGGACAGATTCAAGAAAGATATCATTTGGATATATATTTTTTATTTCTAAATTGTAACATTATCATTCTAAAATTCTTCTCCCTTTTTAACCTTTTAATTTTATAAATCTTTTCCCCTACACCAAACATGAACAGATTAAACAAAAATGTCAAGGAGTGTTAAATTTCTAAATTGTAACCATTTCAATTTTGCATTTTGAACATTTAAATTAAGTTTTCTTTTTTTATTCACACTGAAATGAAATGTGACTGGTATTTTTAACAGACAAATTTTCATGAGCTAATTTGATGGCAACATCAGATCCTGCAATCTATTATTGTTTAAAAAAAACTCAATATACTATATCTCAATCATTGATTATCTGATAAAATGAAATATATACCGGCAATGCATTTGTTTGTATTACAAGTAAAGTTGGACAGCACATGGGGTAACAAATTGGTGAACAAGATATTATTCTAATAGGATGATGCCTGCATATTTATTATTTATGAAAGCTTTTGGGGAGTATTTTTATTTGATAAACCCAAATATACTTCTATCGAGGAAACAGTTACAAGTACATGTATACCAGATAATACCACCAATTAGCCATTTATAAAATACTGGTCCATGGAATAGTCATATCGTCCTTGTTTTCACGAAGTGACGGTAGTGAGGAAAATCGTCACGCAAAGTGAATGCAATTTTTGTTCACTACCGTCACTTCGTGAAAACAGCGACGATATATAGTACAATGAAACAACAAATTTCTGTCTCATTTTCAATTTTGTAATACTAATTGGCCTGGCCCGATGGATATTGGGATCTCATGCACTGACCATAGTTCCCCCCCCCCCCCCCCACTCCGGGGTCGGAATGACCGCATGCGTGATGCCAAAATGTACGGTAAAGGGTACTTTTCGTGCGACAAAGTCCGGCCCGAGAATTGTAAAAAAAGGGGTGTATTTGACTTTTCACCCAGGAGATTTCTTTAAAAAGGGGGTGTTTTTTTCTCTTTTTTTCTCTCATCTCTTTGGACTCCTGAGAAATTATTCCGAATTTAGGGGGGTACATAGAACATTTTTCCGAATTTAGGGGGGTCTCCAAGGCAGGAAAAGCCTGCAAAAAGCCCGCGAAAGGAGGGTTCGGAAATGTTGGCAGTCCTCAGATAGGGGGTGCTTTCAAAAAGAGGGAACGAGCATATGCGTACCCTAAATAACACTGAGTGGGGGAGGGGGGGGGCCGGGCCATAGTTACAGCATAAATTATTTAAATAGATGGTTCTTGTTTTTTAAATTAAAAGTGAAAGTAGCTCATAATTTTTTTAATAAAACTAAGCCACTCCCCTTAATAATAGAATAAAAAAACATTCTCAATTCGAATGTGAGAAAATAATCATGCAGCAAGTGTAGCACAAACGTAGTGTTACGTAATAGGAAGTAGCAGCGCGCTCGATAAAAGGCAGGCGAACACAAAGTAGTTCACAGCCGTTGATATCATCAACCTCCGAATTTGTTCTGTAAAATAGCTTATTTCGCTTCCATACACCATTACAATACGTAACTGAGATCTGTGGTAACTTAAATCGCACAACCCATTCGGAGAAGAACTGAAATATGAATTACATAATCCTAAAATGCAGTTATATGCTTAAACATTCTTAAGTTTGAGAGCCGCTCGCTGATTGCCGAGCATCTTCAACGTGACCGACTGCCTTTTACTGTCGACCTTCTATTACATTACAGTCCTCACGTGGACAAGACACGCGACATGTGCTCCAGATACGAAGGTACAGGTCGCAGCCAACGTTAGCAGTCATGCGGATCACACACACACATCTCACACATTTGTTTCAGATGAAATTATTATTAGATCATTCTGTGGGTGGATCCCGTAGATCTACGAATACCTACCAAATCCCAAATAAGAAGTGGATGGATTTAGAAGATTTATGGACAATTAATGATAATATAATAGTACGCAAACGGAAGTCCTGAGGGGATGAGGATAGCAAAATAAAACACCAACTGACTCCGAGTCTGAGTCTTCTAAGCAGGCTCGGCACATCTAAATTAGAGTTACAAATAGACAGCCGTACGTACCTAATGTTAGTAGGTAAATTAATTGAATATAAATTTTAAACAATGAAATATCAACAGTGCCCGATATCGATGATGTTAATCTTCAAAGAGTTAATTGGGTCTATAGTCTATAGAGTCTAGAGTCTAGATCTATCTCATAATTTGTTACCACAGATATCGATCATGATTTGTAGTTAGATCCTACTCAAGTAAGTTAGTGTAAGAAAAATATGAAATTAAAGACATCCGATCAAAGTGAAAACAAAGATTCTGGATTAGGTTGCTACCGTTTCCTCCAGAAAATTAAATGAACCCCAATCACTGAAACAGGCTCATAAAGTTAAACATACACTTTCCTCAAAGACAAAGACAGGCAAATTCAAAAATAAATTGTAGCAATTATCAAATCTCTTTTCTGGTTGACTGGAAACTCACCTTCTGTCAGAATTTTCACTCGTAAAAAGGTTAATCAGGTCGTTCTTCTCGATGTTCAAGTCTGGTAGTGGTACCAAATTTCGGAACGCAACCAATCCTCGTTTGTTGGAGCTTTTATTGGATGCTTCAGCCCAGGGAGTTCAGCCTTCCATTAGAATCCAGGCATCTAAACACTGGAATAGTAGCACTAGCACTGTAGCAGACGAATAGAGGAGAGCAAGGTAATGTCTCTTGTACCAACTCCACCGAAAATCTTCCGAAATTGCTCAATGCCGATGTCAAAATAACAAATATAAGTCCTTTCTACTTCCCATTCATCCCAGACGTGTACCCCCCGAGTTGAACTTGGAGACGGTGACCGAGTTTTGATGTTGTCACCGCGATAAGTTCCCGAGCCTAGTCGTGGAGCGAAGACACGTCTATGTTCTCCAAGAGCAAGAAAAAGTCTCAAATCTTTCTCGCAGATTTTTCTTTCTTATATATGCACAGCCGATCGCAGAGTGAGAGGTTTCTTGCCCGATATCTGGCACAGCTATATATCTCGAAAGTACATCGAGGGAGAAGAAATGGCTCAATATAATTATTATCTGGTACTGCTCATCCGATAGATGCACATCCCTGACTTCGATTTAGTTACATGTATATTTGGCATCGTCTGTACCCGAACGTGAGTTCACCCCAGAATTAGGTCGCTTAGGTAATTTACATACGGTGTTTCCAGCTACAGACTCGCACACAGAACGAAACTCATCAACACATTTGTCAGATACACGTGCCTTGGACGAATACATTCTGCAGCGGGGGTTATTGTGGCATTCCTAGTGAACGTTACTCACACATTCAATTCTATATCTCTTTCTAGGCAAATAAACTCGTCTAATAATCAAGCGATAAATTATGTTATGAATTATTAATTATTATACAATATTTCAAAACATTTTGCTAATGTTTCATACTTATGTAAAGATGGGAGCACTTTGTCATCTTCCCAAGTAATAATCGAGTACGACACTAAACTCACGTTTCCCGGTACCGTGAGTACAGTCTATGGTTTAAAGCAGGGAGTTGGAATGGATTGTTTATTGCTTTGTATAAGTTACGTAATCATTGGGGTACTGACCTGGTTTAACACCATCATAATGTGTATCAGTTCACCCTTCCCTCGAAGCTGGGACAAATTTGGGGATGTAAACAACGACTCAGCAGAAGCGTATTGTTAGACCAAAGAATTGGGATTCACCTCATAATTTTATAATGCCTGCACCTCCACTAAAATCCTAACAAGTGCCCTTTTATGGTAGGCCTACCTATATAAGAAGTGCCCATTTCCTTCGACAAGTGCCCCTATCCATTCTCATAAGTGCTTTTCTTTCATCATTCATACGTGCCCCTTTTCAGGTATACGAAAAGTGCTCCTTTTTACTTCTGATGAGTGGCCCATTTACCGCTGATAATTTCCCCTTTTCAAACCTGAGAGATGCCCGTTTTATTTGTCACATGACCCTCGTCCTTTGTAATAGTTGCCCCTTCCCCTTCTGATAGGTGCTCCTTTAAAAAAAAAAACTTTGATGAGTGCCCCCTTAACCTCTGATAGGTACCCCTTTTATTTTGAAATAAGTGCTTTAAAAAAAAAATCTCTGATAATTGCTCTTTTAAAATCTGATAGGGGCATTTATCATAAAAGAAAATGTGTACTGACCGGAAATGAAAAGGGGCACGTTTCCTTCAACAGATGTCCCTTTTCTTTTATAATAAGTGCCCCTTTTCTATCATCACAAATGCACTTTTCCATCACTGTTGAGTGTCTCTTCTCAGGTGCGAGAAGTGTCTCGCTCCACCTCTGATAATTGCCCTTTTTACTTTGACACGTGCTCCTAATCTTTTCCAATAAGTGTCCTTTTCCCTTGTCTCCATAACATGCGCACCTATTAAATCTAAAGCGACTAAGAGCAACTTTATCTTTAATTTAATCCGAAGCTCACTCTCTACGCTCGCTCGCATGTTTAGTTGATACAATTATGTTACTTATTAGAGGTCTTTTCATTCTTTCATGATTAGATTATGCTTAAAACCTATTAGGATTTGTGTTTTTTCCTCTATCTATATAAGATGTAATATTTCGCATAGCGACCTCATTAAATTTGTTTGCTCGTTGGCAGATGAATATTCAGACCATTACACCCAATCGGACCTGGGCATATACCACTGTCTAAAAATCGTATATTTTCTAGCTTTGAGGTTTCCCTTCGTAGGTGACCCATTTTTTCTTCTTCTTCAGAAAGTGTCTTTTTTTGTGCCTACCCCCCCCCCCCCCACACACACACACAAACTTTGGAAGGTTCTCCGCCACCTCAGTATTGCCTCCTATCACATTATAAAAGTGAACATCAGCATTGGTTATGGTGATAATATATGTGGATCGAGTTCTTTGTATGATACTGATCACGATTACAGTCACATTTATTTTTTCCTCAATAGGGTACGGTCATTGTTATATTAATTTTAATTATCATGCAGGCCTTTGTGTTCGATTAACCCCGCCCTTGTCGAGGATAATAGACATTAGTATCTTAACGCTGTTCAGGAGTGAACATAGAGGGCCCTTGTCCCTGTGGCAGCTAAGTAGTTAGCAGTATACGTAATGGATGACATGTGATGTCGTCGATCACGTACATAAAGAATATTTGTGAAATTACAGTATGCCTTCATGAAAAAAATCACATTTCTAGAAAGTTCAGTTTTTGCCCTTTCATAATTATGACACCTCAATCAAAAACAAATTAGTCAGGAATAACAAGTTCTGTTTGTTTAAAGTAATGCTTGCAGTTTAAATAATTTGAATCACTGGCTGCCTGTCGTAGCGACAAACAGATTTGACAAAAGACTTAACTCCGTTTCGTTGACGATCAGCCATATTTCGTATTCCTTTTGCATGGCCGATCGTCAGCGAAACGGAGTTAAGTCTTTTGTCAAATCTGTTTGTCGCTACGACAATCCCACCGCGGCACTATTTGGCAAGATATTGATCTACGTTTACATTTTACAAGTAAATGGGTACCTGGTATGAAAATTCTCTGAAAAAATGACTGTGCGCTGATTACAGCTGCCGGAGCTAATACTAGGGTAACAATTTCCAAGGCTCTTTAGAAGCCATAGAGACGTTATAATGTGATTATGCGCTATACATTTCAATTTCCACTTTTTCATCCCTGACATTATTTTCTATTACGGCCCTTCCGAGGTTCCGCTATAGGGTGGGAAAGTTGTCGGCCTCATTGGATCGGCCAATTTTCCGTATTCCCTTGATATATTTTTCTATATAAACGCGATTTCCATAAAATTATTCTGCACGTTAAGCTTGGGGGTTAGCCGAGACTATTCATGATCATTGATTATACAATGGTCTTGAAGCGGAAGGTTCCTGATTCAAAACCCCTTTGCAATGGCGATCAACCATACTTTCCCAGCATCCCAGAGATAAAATATACTGTAACATAACTTATTAAACTGTTACTAGAGACACTGTCGATTTCATAGCTTTCGTCTCCAAACATTCGGTCTATATCTTGCCACAAACCATGTGTAACATATAAGAGTTCTCATCAACAAATCGTTAAACAAATAAAATACATAAATACATAAATAATACTCCACAAAATAATAAGTTATACGGAAATAGTGACATAATACAGTATCTATAATATTCTTTTATGTGTATTTCTCACTTGTGAATACTACACATATCTGAATTCGTTACAATGCCAAATTGAATTAAATAATTATGAACATGGGCGTATGTGTGGGGGTGTATGTAACTATGAATGAAAAACATAAACTTACATTGGCAATTCTGAAATAGGATAATTAAGACAGTGTATGGTGCCTGCCTCGAGCTTAGAGAAGAACGTATTACGTACTTGAGAGTGATGACGGAAAATATATTGACACGTGATTATAATGCCACATGGCTAGGTAAAACGACTTTCCTGCTATTCGAGAACACTTCCGAGTTGCCAATAGCTCAAATTAAAATATCCTTCAACGTGAAAATATTCCATTAACACCACACCTAACTGGATTTTTTAAAAAATATTGTTTTCAATGTATTTTACTTTTCTAATCAACAACAAGTCAACAAATATTGTTGAACAACATTGGGAATATCGTTTCAAGCTTTTCTTGAGATGACAAGGGCCTCGACTGCTAAGTACAACAGCAACCCTTTAGTTCGCCGTGTGTGTTCATTGCTGCATGTGGTCGGGAGGGGGGGGGGGCATGAGGCACGTGCCATCCCCCAAAAAATGACGGGAAACAAAGTGGGGGGAGGAAGAGAGAGAGAAATAGAGAGAGAGATGGAGAGAGAGAGAGAGAGAGAGAGAGAGAGAGAGAGATGGAGAGAGAGAGAATAGAGAGAGAGAGAGAGAGAGAGAGAGAGAGAGAGGATAAAAACTAGTGGGAGCGGAACGTGATTAAAAGATGCAAACGACCTTCTCCCACACTCCTTAATTAATCAAAAGCCTTTCGTGCACGTCAACCACTAAATAAGATCTGTGCCCACTCCCTGCCCCTAAAATAAGATCGATGCCCCCCCCCCCCCCCCCCGCCCAAGTCGATGTCTGGATCTTGGCTACGTCACTGATAGTCGCTGAAACTTTCTTTAAATAATTCACGCTCGCAGGCCTGACAGACCAATGTAGTCCTGGGCCCTGTTTCATAAAACGTGATATCAATAACAAGTTACAACCTACTGTTATAAGCTACTGAAATCGTGGCATCTGATTGGCTGAGAGCAAATTTGTCATAGAAATTTAGCAGTTGTTATAGATAACAAGTTTTATGAAACGGACCCCTGTTCTATGTGGATTAAAATATAACCTTTATGATTGTTACGATTAGAATTACGGTTGGGGGGGGGGGGGGAATAAATCATCAGGAATAATGAACCTCGTATAACGTTTCGGTTTAAGGATAACATCCACAGCTGATTAAAATACAATAAGACAGTATAAAATAATTTAAATAGGATCCAATTTACTTACATCTGCTGAGTAAATGGGTTCAGTTTCGAAAAAATGCAGGTCTTCTCATTGCCATATTTTTTAAGTATAGTATTTTTATACTATCATTATTTCACAATGTTCATAACAAGCGTGATATAACAAAGACTTTCAAGAAAATCAAACTTCACGATATCAATCAAGGGGGCCGGGCCCCCGGCCCCCTCCCCTGGGGGGGGGGGGGAGGGGAACGTGTAAATATTACGTTAACATTGCCTTTTTTTGGAGCTGGGCCCCCTTCGCTGGTGCAATTTTTCAAATTTTCG